GCCTGCCACAGTGCAGTGCGCCCGGGAGGCTGCCAAGCTCGGGAGTCCTGAGCTGCTCAGTGTCACAGCATTGTGGTGCTCCCACACCGACCGTGAATTGTGTGACATGTGAACAAACAAATGTCATGCAATCGGGGTGCTAGTCAAGCGTCTGCTGGCAGCAGCACAATGAGGACATATTTCTTGACTCTAGCCCCAGAGGCTACACAGAACGCACACAGACACACGCAGACACACACATGCCTTCCTCGAAGGGGAAAGGGTCAGCTTGCTCTTCGCTTTCAGCCTACTCCTTTCCATATACCAGAAAGCCTCCCGAAGTTCAAGCCTGGACAGGAAGAGAGCCCAAGAATCCAGGGATGTTCGGCCTTTTAGTCAACGTGTGGCTTGACCGGGGAACCTGGGCCACGAATGACAGGTTGGTGTGGGGGTAACCGGCTTCCCACAGATGTTTGCTCCCCTGAGACACATCTAACGGGCCAGTGGATATAGTAGATGTGGTCTGGGGCCTGAGCTCAGTGGAGACAAACAAGACTGCAGGCGGAAGCTGAAGGACATGGTTTCTCTGGAAAACTCTCTGAGCGCTCTGGCACAAATAGAACTTCTTAAGGCCCCAGGTGAGAAGGGCATGGGACAGAGCATGTGTTTTCCCCCAGTGTTAGGCCATGAATCAGCGGAGGCTCTGGGAAGCACAGCCTCATGTTGGCACTGAGTGTTTTGTAGCTTTGGGAACAGAGCGTACCTGTCACCGTCTGCACAAACCTCATGTCTTAGCTACAGGGATCGTGGTGTGGCACAGCTTTGAAAGCTACTTGGCAAGGAAGGGAGCCTGGAGTGGAAGAGTATGTGATGACATTCTTTTGGATGGCTGTGATTCTCCTTCGGGATCTCTTGAAAATACCTGGTTAAGCTTTGAGTGGGGGATTCTAGGTCCCTCGTACACAGGATGGAGCATGAGTCGTGGAGGACTGAGTGGGTGTGGGTTACAATCCTCTTGACTCCATTACTCATTGATCGAAGAGAGATTTACAGACCCTCTCTTGAGTTCCAGGCATACCCAGTAGACCTGTATTGGTCAGCTTGGGCTGCCATATTACACCTTTCCATGGCTGGGTGGCTTAAACAACAGAAATTTCTCCCTCACACCCTTAAAGGCTGGAAAGTCCAAGATCCAGGAGGCAGCAAGGCAGGTTTCATTCTGAGATCTCTGCTCCTGGTATGTAGGCAGCTTCCATCTCAGCGTGCTCACATGGTCTCTTGTGCGCATGCGGGGGGAGGGAGAGCGTGGGAGCTCTCCGGGGCCTCTTAAAACGGCACTGAGGCCACGAGACCGGGGCCGCACCCCCATGACCTCATCTAACCGGATTTCCCTCCCAAAGATCCACCTCCAAATTCTGTCATATTAGAGGTTGGGGCTTCATGTATGGTTTTCATAGCACAGATGCTCAGTCCATAACATGACTCTGTGGAGGAGGTCATGGTCCCCCAAGACCTTTACAAAACAGAGAGGACCACACAGCACCCTGGGGAGAAGAGTTGGCAGCATCAGCCTCCTCTCCTCTCTTACCTCTGCTCACTGAGCACCATTCATGTGCCTGTGTCTGTCTCTCGAACATGCCAAGTTCACCTGCTCTTCCCTCCTCTGGAATCACCTTGCCCGCCTCAAAACATCCTGGCCATCTCAGCCCTCAGCTCATGGCCACCTCTTCACAGAGGCCTCTCCCACCTTCCTGTGGGACTCTCGCCCGCTCTCATATTTAACCTGGTGGGTTTTTTCATAGCACTGAGAACTGGGGAGAAGTATTTTGTGTATTTGTCTCCTTGTTGATCATTTGCATACTCCCAGCAATGTGGGCTCCATGACAGCAGGGACCTAGTCTTTCAGAACTATTTCTGGGTCCCCAGAAAACTAGGACAGTACCCAGGCATGGTAGGTGTTAACAAAGAAGTGTTGATGAATCCCAAGTATCACAAAGACACAGAGTACACCCAAGGGGCGGGAGGGGTGGCGGAGACTAACCCTCTCTGGGCACCTGAGATGGACCTTGTAGGATGGGAAGGATTTTGAAGATGGACATATGGGATGAGGAAGGAAGGTAATCCATCTCTTTGGCTCTGGAAAGACCACATGCAGATTAAATTTTCCTTCCTTCCTTCCTTCCTTCCTACCTACCCACCTACCTACCTGCCTACCTACCTACCTACCTACCTACCTCCAAGCTTCTCTGGAGAGAAGATGGTCTTATTCTAGAATATCTGAACTCTGGCTATCAGGAAGTTCTTCTCGATGTCTGACTTTAAAGCTGAACTTCTTCCTTCACCAACTTCAGCCCCCTATTATCTGCCTTTTATTAGAAACACTATAAACTCTACTCATCAAGCATTCAATGGCAACACTGTAAACTCTATTTGTCATCCTTTACATTGAGAAAAAGTCCATGCAACTGAAAAACAGCAATACTCCTATTTCCAATGTCCTCTTTTAATTAAAAAAAAAATGCTAAGTAATGGGGCACCTGAGTGGCTCAGTTGGTTAAGCATCCAACTCTTGATTTCGGCTCAGGACATGATCTCAGGGTCGTGAGATCGAGCCCCATGTTGGGCTCTGTGCTGGGCGTGGAACCTGCTTGAGATTCTCTCCCTCCCTCTCTCTCTGCTCTTCCCCCCACTTACGCATGCTCGTTCTCTCTCTCAAAAAAACCAAAAAACAAAAAAACTTAAGTAATACTGGGTCAGGGGCAGGGAGCAGAATTGTGCTTTACGATGGCTCTCGGTTTGGCCTCGTGTTAGGGAAGCTTCTTAGGTTCTCATTTGAGTGGGCAGTAGTAGGAAGAGCAGAGCAAAGGGGCTTTGGGGAACACCGTCGCTCTAGATACTTGTTCTAAAGCTTCATAACCTGAATCCTCAGGGCACAGGCCCTGTTCTGAAAGCTTTGCTGTGCAGACATTCATTCAGCACACATTTGATGGCATCGCCCAGAGGCCCGACATTGCGCTTGGTGCTGACTCATCCGTGAAGGCGAAGGAGACGTGGTCCCACAGCGGGGCAGGCGGAGTAAGGCCTGAATCCTGTGGGTGGGACTTACGTGTATAGAGTGGCGCATGGCAGAGACAGAACAAGACTTGGAAGGCCAAATAGAGCCCTCTGAGCGGTGCCTTTCCAGGACGCTCTGGACCACAGGCCTTGGTTTAGCCTGGCGTGTAACAAAGCCTGGGCCAGGGTCTTCCAGAGCTCCTCAGGGACTCGCGGCCACGTAGGCAGGGCAGGAGGTGCCCTTTCTCCATGAGACAGCCCAGCGTTGCTCCTCTTTCCCTAGGGCAGTGCTCCTAAGGTCCTCTCGGTGGGTCAGCTTTGGTCTTCTCTAGTATACAGAAAACATAAATTAAGGTTCAAAAGCAGGACAGCAGCTGAGAGCTGACTTTGAAGCTTAGGGCCTTAGGTTGAAGGGAATTCTCTTGGCTGAGTCACAAAGGGAATAAAATGCCATCATAAGGAGAGTAGCTTTAGGTTTTCACTTTATCTTCAAAATAAAAGATTAGGGACACAATTCTGGTTGAGATGGCTAAGCGATGCCTGTATAATTGAATTTCATGCTCATTATTTCCCTCTGAAGTGGTGTACACAAGCAGTCATTGGAAAGCAGGTTTAACAAATACACTGGCCAGGGCCCTGCTGAACTTTACACCTTTCCACAATTTTCCACGTTCTTTCAGCCTCCCCGGCTGCCGTGCACGACCATCTGAGGCGGCGCCGATCTAGCCGGTGAACCAGCCCAGTTCGAGAGCAAGCTTCTCCTCTACCAGCAAACTCGTCATAGGATCTGAACATTTTATTTTCTGCACAAGATTAGACATGGTCCGGGGGATATTTTATGCTGCTTTGGGTAGGCAATTCGCCTGGAGCTTTGACATCTCATAATTGAGCTGTGTCCGAGTCTGAAGGGAGAACACACTGAAGCTCTGGGATACTGTGCATGTGTGGGGGCCGGGGGGGCCCTCAGGAAATCTTTGGACCTTTTGCTTAATTTTGATATGGACCTAAAATTTCTCTCAAAAAATTAAAGTCTTTTTTTTTTTTTTTTAAAGAATATACCAGAGTTATTGCTGTGATAAAAGAATATACCAGGGGCACTGTTGTGTTGTGGGCCCAGTCTTTCTTACTCAGCTTCCTTTTTTTTTTTTTTAAAAAAAAAGAAAGAGGCCTAAAGGAGATTGTTCAATGCCAATGAATGAACTGCCTCTCCTGAAAATCCAGGAATTGATTCGGAAAAATTCTCAGAAACTTGAAAATGGCCACATTATTATTTTTTTTTTTAAGGTTTATTTATTTTGGAGAGACGGAGAGAGAGCATGAGTGGGGGCAGGGCAGAAGGAGAGGGAGAGAATCTTAAGCAGACTCCCCACGGAGTGTGGAGCCCGCAACGGGCCTCAATCTCACGACCCTGAGATCATGACCAAAATCAAGAGTCAGATGCTTAACTGATTGAGCCACCCAGGCTCAGTTGGTTAATAATAATAATATTATTACTAGTGTCAAATCAAATGAAGCTTGATTTGACAGTAATAATGTCTGTAGATCCCGGGGCGGGGGGCCTCCTGGATGGGGAGATGGTCGAGTTTCTTATTTGGGCCCTGCTGTGTTCATAAGAACTTTGGGGACAAAGACTCCCGTGCACATCTTTCTTCCCAAACAAAGGCTTCCGATGCAGCCTTCTGACAAGGTGCATCCTTGAAGGTTCTGTTGGAGCAAGGGCAGGGTTCACGGGTCTCCCATGTTGACGGCAAGGTGCCATGAGTCTTCTCTAGGACAGAGGCAGGGCGACCCTACAACATGCCAGTCAGCCCTGTGATGCTTCCCGTACATTATCTGAGAGGCATAGGTATCATCATCCTTACCTGCCGTGCTTCTCGAACTTTCTTTGGGGAAAGACCGGGGCTGGTTGGGTTTTGGGAGGCTTTAAAAATGTCTCTTTTTTCTCTCTCCATGTTGTCACAGACATGTATTTTTGGTTCAGACCCCGTGCAGAGATGAGCCCAAGGATCATGCCCGTAGATGTTCCAGCAAGAGCCGAGTTGCTACAAAGTGTTGCTAAACTCACCTCCTCAAGAGGCACGTAGCTGTGCACCAGCACCTGATCATCAGAGAAAGGAAGCAACCCACCTCAGCTCGTGCAGCTGATCTGCAGGTCCAGTCCAGGTCAGGATGACTCCAGCACCTCTGTTCTGTATCTATCCGTGAAAAACGCTATGAAAAGTACAGTTGACCCTTGAACAACATGGGTTTGAACCGCGTGGATGCATTTATATGTGGATTGTTTTCAGTAAATACAGACCGGTACCATAAATATATTTTCTCTTCCTTACGACTTTCTTAATAACACTTTCTTTTCTCCAGCTTCCTTTTTATGAGGATACAGTATAGAGTACACACAACATACAAAATATGTTTATGTTGTTGGCAAGGTTCCCTGTCCACAGCAGGCTATTAGTAGTTAAGTTTTGGGGAAGTCAAAAGTTATACGTGGATTTCTAACTTCCTGGGGCAGGGGTTGGCACTCCTCAGCCCCACAGTGTTCAAGGATCAGCCCTAATTATGCCAGAATTACTAAATTTCCAGTGAATTCTCGTGGAAATGAAATGGGAGGAAGGAGAACCTCTCACTTCCTGAAACTCTACTCTCCTGATTCGACTCAAACTAATCAGGTGCATGACCCCCAACCCTTCCAGGGAGGCCCAGGAGTCTTGGTGGCTGTTCTCCCATTTTCTTACCAACCTCTTCCCTGCCGCAGCTCCCCTCACTCACCCCTTCCCTCCAGTCCCTTATGGTGGAGCATGGAATTCAAGGAGGTGAGGGGGAAGAGCAGAATCAGAAGAGTGAAATAAATTATAGTGTCCAGAGAGCCCTCAGGGATCCAAACATAGTAAAATTATTATGTTTAATGTAAAAATTGAACTTAAAATAATTCTGCTCTGTGTTTAATAACAATAGGTAGGGCTCAGCTAAGCCAAGTCAGCCAGGTCCTCTCGGCCAGGCGGCCTGACTTCTCTTAGCGAAAAGAGAAAGCCAAGGAGAGCTCTTGAAGGTTAATAGAATCTATCACCTCCTCAAGAATGCAAACTGTATAAATACTCAGGTTTTAAAATAAAATCCCCCAAAGCCAGTCTTGCAAAATGAGGTCAGCCTGGTCTGGCAGGGCCTTCTGTGCTGTGTGGCAGTGTGTCTTGTGATCAGAACATCCCTGACGTGTAGACACAGCCTTTGCCTCTAGATTGTATATTGAAACCACAAAAGCAGAACTCCCATAGCTCAAGTTTATAGAAATCCGTGACAATGTTTGAAGTAGTTTAGTTGAGACTAAAACAGTCTGACATCACAGCCTTGGGGAAGATGATGGAAATTTCTTAATTTCTGTGGAAAATTGGAAAAAAAAAATTCTTCTCAGGTGTTCCCACTGGCCGTTCTCTTCTGGGTTTGGAAAATCACACGGAGGTACAGAGAGCCTGCTGAAGATATCAGCCAGGTCTTAGAATTCCATGTATCAGCCTGTGCTGGTGACTTTCCATTTGCCCACCCACCCCGATTCATTCTCCATACATCTCTGCTTTGCCTGGTGCCCAAGAAACTGATCCTGATGGATTGTATTACTTGGGCTCCCCTCACCTCTGACTTCAGCTGGATTTGGCCAACAGGAGCCACCAGCAGGAGATTAGGGGGCAGGAGGAAAGAGAGGGCAGATGCAGGTCCCCATGGGGCCTCCTGTTCCGTGTCTCCAGCTCTCTGCAGGCTCTCCCAAACAATTCCCTCCCATTGTCCCTTTTTGGCCAAAGTAAGAGTTAACAGTTTTCCACTGGGTGACTCACTACAGACCCATCTGTTTTCTATAGGACCAATCTGTTTTCTATAGGGACCCTGGGTGATAGGCATACTTGCCCCTTAGCCTTAAGCTCCTGACCAAGAGTTTCTGTGTCCCTATCTTAATTTGTGTATCGAATACTATATTGATTGTGTGGAGGATAAATGAGCTAAGCTCATCTTGGTAAGAATGACGATAGAAAAGGGTCATTACTTTCTATCTTTCAAGCATTTTTTTTTTTTTTTTTTTGCATTTTCCTTCCGATCATTTGTTGATGGTAAAAGGAGACAGTGCTTTATTAATTTGACCTTTTTCCTGTTTCTGGACTGATCTCATCCTCATAGGTACCCACCTATCAGTGGCCACTCACCTAGGTCCAATCCCATCTGGCCTGTTGGAGCATTGTTGATATCCTCGCCCTGCCCTTTGGTCAGAAAGTTTCTGCATTCTGTCCTGACCCCTCTGCTGATCTCTTGACACTTTCAGCCCCTCTGTATCCATCACCAGAACTTACAGGACCTCTAATACCCTCCACACCATATACCAAGTATGGGCAGCCCAGAGTCCACCTGCAGCCCATCTGTGTAGATGCCTACCTGGGCTCATGGGCTCCATATTGGTCTGGCACCCAGTTAAACCTGAAGCATTTGGAAGGTGCTTAAAATGGTCCCTGTCTGTGGCCAGAGAGGTGAGGAACGAGCTGCCTTGCAATGGGATAACCCTAACTTTTTGTTTTTAACCTGTTAATGCTCTGACAAAGATTTTGAACTCAAGGGGATGGTCGGGACTCATGCTCCTGACTTCTTGTTCCTTCTCCTCCTCTTTTCTTTCCCTTCATAGCTCTGGCTCATGCACCAGACTCATTCTCCACTTCCTCCTAAGGCATTCAGGGGCCCCTTGCTTGGGCTATCAGGTTTTACCTGCTTGGGAATTATAGTAAAACTTGATATTTGAATCTCCGAACTCTGCTTTTAATAGGTCAGAGGAACTTGGGAAGTTGGTAATCTTTCTCATTTCTCAACAAAGACTGGCTTTCGAGATTATCATTTCTGTAGGAAGACTTAGAGCTGCAGGACTCCTGTGTGTGTGTGTATGTTCTCCCCTCCCCCGCCCCTCTCCTTCCTCTCTCCCTCCCTCTCTTTCTTTCTTTCTCTCAACAAATACTGATCCAGTGCTCACGACATCCACGCCATTCCCATTTCCTTCGCAGTACAAAATAGTGTCCATTGTAGTGTTTGGAAAGCGGCCTTACACACATACTGGGTGTGTTCCAACAAGGAGAATGGGACCTAGAACAAAATTACTGTCAGACATTTTGGTAGGATGTTTTGTTTTGTTTTGTTTTTCCTCATAAGAGCTAGATCCTGTGTGTAACTTTAATCGGAGCCTGTAAATGTTTTCATGATATTATAGACACGCAGATTTTATAAACATGTGTTCAGGTCCAAGAGATGAGAAGAAGAGACACTCATCGGAATCTTCTGGGCAGGGAGGGACGGACAATGTAATTACAGAGCACAGTGGTAGTAAATCCGTGTGTCATCTTCCTAGAGAAGTGACGGCACTGCTGGATATTTTGATGGTGAATCCATAGCATCTGTGCCTCTTCCTCTTTCTATGGTCACTGCTGGAGTTCAGACCCTCAGCTCCTTACTTGCCTGATAACGTCAGCCTCCCTCCTTCTCCCTCTCCCAGCTTGCCCATAATTCCCCACCAGTCTGTGTTCTGTTGTGCAACCAGAACCATCTGGGGAAGAGGGTGGACCTAATTTTAGAATTTAGTTTGGCCCTCATAAGCAGTAAATTTTAAAATTCCAGCAACATTTTTTGAAGCTAAGGGGGCTGCTATTAAGGGATGGGTGACTCAGGAACAGGCCAAAACTTATTCCCTGTAAGTCCTCAGGGCTGCGGTGTGAGAGGGAGGGAGGAAAAGGATGGGCAAAGGACTTTGCAAAGTGGAAAGGTTGGATATAGCCTTGAAAGCTGAGGAGCAACGAGGAAATCACATCTCTCCCACCCTCAGAGTTGACTTGGGCTGGAAATCGCCGCCGCTCCCAGGGGTCAGGCAGGTGCAGTAAGTAGGTGCTGTGGGCTGCTCGTAGGAGATCATACACACTGGCCGAGCAGGGAAAGCCCCACTCATCCAAAGGGGCCACTGTTATTCAGCTCCAGCCACTGGAAATCTTCCGTTTTCTTCCAAATAAACTGGAAGTACGGGCTTTTTAATGTAAAATGTTATAATTTTTGCATGCCAAACTCTTGGCTTGGATTTGGCCCTGTCTGGGACTTTCAGTGTGTGATTTCTTGTTTATACTACTATACTATATCTGAGATGTGAGGGTGTTGGTGGTGCTGGTGATGGGGTGTGTGCGTGTGTGTGTGTGTGTGTGTGTGTGTGTGATTAAACAGTTACCTTCTGGAAAATTAGGAGGGTGAAAGTCTCTAAATCACCTTGAAGATGAGAGGCCTGGAAGTGTGTGTGTGTGTGTGTGTGTGTGTGTGTGTGTGTGTGTGTGATTAAACAGTTACCTTCTGGAAAATTAGGAGGGTGAAAGTCTCTAAATCACCTTGAAGATGAGA